GAGCATGCAGCCAGCACCCGAATGTCGAATGCGGAGGCAGGCTCTTTGCTATATCGAAGTGGCCTGCCTGCGTCCAGTCCTGGAAGCTTCCAGTACGCCCCGGTAGCCTGAGGCCCAGCACGACGAGAACAGGCCTTGGGCCTGAGGTGGTTGCATGTGACCAACTGCCTTTGGCCTGTGTTTGGCCCAGTACCCGTATCCAGCCCAGGGCATGCTTCACATACATTCACACAGGCGGCCCAGGGCCTGGGTTAACTCAACCAACTGGCGCTGCGCAACTGCCTGAATTTCCCTGAGTTGCATGGTGGCCAGAATAGGGCCTGAGGGCGTCGTCGAGCCTGCCTTCACTTAGGGCGGCCGATGGGCTGCAAAATGGGGCCTTATGGGGCTCATAGAGGCAGTGGCCTCGCATTCCCTCCTCCTTAGCTTCAACAGTCCTCTGAGAAGCTCAGTCTTCAATCATGGGGCGCTTTCCCTTCTGCAGAGATTTCTCATAATGGGCTACAACTTGCAGAGCGGTCTGCATGAGTTCTTCCCTCGTGAACCATCGGTCCTCCTTGGGATCAGTATGATGTCAGAACCGAACGTGGTACTGCAGCTTCAGTTTCGGAGGACGTCCCCTTCCTGTAGGTCTCTGAGCTGGCAGCTCCCTGTGATCCACGATGTCATCGATGTCCACTTCTCCATCCATGGTTGGGGGCAGCATTGAGCGACGAGAAGGAAACTCGTCTGTTTCCTTGAAAGGTGCAAGCTTGGAGGCGTGAAAGACAGGGTAAGTTCGAAGATGACCAGGGATCCGGATAACATACGATGGCCCATCCGGATCTGTCCCAACGATGTCTAAAACTTCCCAAGGTCCAAAGTACTGTGGCATGAGCTTGCGGGAGATCCCGTGCTCCTGTCCCAGTTCTGAGGACTTAACCCAGACTCTGTCCCCAACCTGAAATGAAGACTCACGGCGGTGTTTGTTCGCAGATTCTATCATAGCCGCCTGTGCCTTTTGCATCTGTTCTACAGCCTGAGCATCTTCTGTTCATAGCGGTAAGCAAACTCTAACGTACCAGGTGCAGCAGTCGACTGATTCTCAGGAAGGAGAAAATCTAAGGGTAGTCTAGGCTTGAAAGTCAGTAGCAAACTGTTCGGGCTCACCCCGGTGGCACTGTGTACCGCATTGTTGTACAGACTGGCGATGAGTGCAAGCTTCTCATCCCAGTCCACCTGGTTGGGCTTGATGTAATGCCTCAACAGGTGTTGTACAGCGGGGTTCAGTTGCTCGGCCTGGCCGTTGGCCTTTGGGTGATTCCCAGAAGTCATTTGCAACTGGGTTCCCTGCTCTGCAGCAGCGGCCTTCCACAGTTCGCTGGTAAATCGGACATCCCTGTCCCTAATAATAGACTTCGGTAACCCAAAGTCCCTGACCCAGTTCTCCTTGAACATTCTGATCACATACTCCGTTCTTGCTGTTTCTGGCATTGCTACTAACCTAGCATACTTACTAAATCTATCCACGATGACGAAGATGTGTCGCATCCCACCCTTGCTGGTGACCAGAGTATCCATGAAGTCCATGGACAGACTCTCACCAGGCCATTCTGGAATCGAAAGGGGCTTCAGTAGCCCAAGAGGAGCCTGCCCAAGAGGAGCCTGAGTACGAGGCCTGTCCCTTTGACAGACCTGACAAGTCTCCACGTACCGCTCTGCATCTTGCATCATCGTGGGCCACCAGAACCACTGCAGCAGATTGGCTGCGGTCTTCTTGTACCCAAAATGACCGGTGGCATCATGGCACTCACCTAAAAACAAACTATGCAAAGACTCCCTATTAGGAACACACAAACGCTTATTCCCAGCTTTCTCGAGGAACAGCAAGCCGTTGACCAACTCAAACTCAGCACTTCAAGTCTGCGGATGATCTCGAACATGAACGGATCCTCTCGATAGGCTTCCACCATGGACTGAGTAACAGTGTCCTCAAGCCCAAACTCAGTGATCAGCGCGCCCGAGAAGTCTGGTTTGCACGATAGGGCATCGACAACCTTATTGTACTCGCCCTTGATGTACTGGGGCTAGAAGTCATACTGCTCAATGACTTCGATCCAACGCTTGAGAGCATCAGAGAGTACCGGCTGATTTCTCATCCATCTCAGGGTCTGATGATCAGTCCTGAGCATGAAGAACCTCCCAAGGAGGTAATGCCTCCAATGGGTCAGAGCCTTGTATACCGCATAGAGTTCCTTCTTATAGGTGGACTTAGCCAACTTCTGAGAGGGCATCTTTTTGGACATGTACTCTACTGGCCTTAACTTTTTCCCCACCTGTTGTGCAAGTACGGCGCCTATGCCATATTGGCTAGCATCCGTAGTTACTATAAATGGCTTATCAGGATCAGGAAGTTTCAAGACTTCGTAATGCGTCAACGCATGCTTCAGATGTCTGAAAGCAGCCTCGCATCTCTCAGTCCACTCCCATGGAGTTCAAGGCGGGTCGGATCAGTCAAAGGGGCGGCAACTATGCTATCGTTCTCCACGAAGTTGCGATAGTAGTCGGTCATCCCTAAGAATGATCTCATCTCAGTCACAGACTGAGGACGCCGCCAGTCACGAATGCTGGCCACCTTCGCGTCATCGGGCTTCAACCCTTCCGTGGAAATCTCATGACCTAAGTACAAGACACGGGTGCGGCCAAACTCGCACTTCTCACCGTTGATCTTGAACTTGTGTTGTCGCAGGAGACTGAGGACTTTGTCCAAATGTGCAACGTGCTCCTCAACAGTCTTACTAAAAATAAGTATGTCATCGAGGTACACGATGACAAACTTATCCAAGTAGTCATGGAATATCCGATTCATAGCGTGCTGAAAGGTGCCAGGAGCATTGCAAAGGCCGGAAGGCATCACCACAAACTCGTACAGACCGTACCTGGTCTGAAAGGCGGTTTTGTGTTGATCCTCGGGCCGGATTGCAATCTGATGGTACCCGGACTTCAGATCTATCTTACTGAAGTACCGACACCCTTGCACTCTATCTAACAGATCATCGATGCGCGGTACGGGCTCTCTATTCTTTACAGTGATGGCATTGAGGCCCCTATAGTCAATTCACATCCTAAGTGTACCCTCCTTTTTCTTAGGTACGAATAGAACTGGAGACCCGTAAGGAGAGACACTCAGCCGGATCCAACCCTTCTCTACGAGTTCCTTGAGTTGCCGGCGAAACTCATCGAGCTCGCCTGGAGACATCCGATTGATCCTACCCTTTGGGATACTAGACCCTGGGATAATCTCTATCGTGTGGACGACCTCCTTCTCTACAACACCTGTCGGCTCTTCAAATAGATCAGGGTACTTGGCAACTACTCCCTCTATCTCCGACGACATTTTCACCAGCTCGCCTGCCGCAGAGACATAAACTAAGTACATACCCTCCTCCTGGTTTTGCTTATAATAATTGTAGAATGTGGCCGCACACGTGCACCCATAGGACTCAATCAGACTATTAGCTTTAAACTTACGTAATCTGGTGGTCCCTCCACTTGGCGAAGTGTGTTTGACCACTTTTCGGTCCCAGTCAAACTTGGGCTGTGCCACAGAGAGGTAGTACATACCTAGTAACATATCCATTGGGAGCTCGTCACTCACTAGGAACGAGACGCGATGTCTCAATTCCCCTCCCGCGTACGGGAAACAACACTCAACATCCTGGAGGTAGTCGTTGACTACCATGCGCTGTTTGTTGGCATAGGTCGACTCCACAGGTCGACTCAGGTGCTGCACTCGCCCCTGTAAACACAGCCTCTCAACGCACGCGCGACTAATAAAGTTCCTTGTCGAGCAAGTGTCATAATAGGCCCCGACCTTGCGGCTGCCAATGACTACCTCGCTGACGAACATCTCACCCTTCGGGGCTTTGACTAGCGCCATCCAAGAAGCTACCGGGTCTGATCTAGACCACTCCACCTCTAGCTCCTCTAAGGATTCAAACACATTCATCGAACAGAGCCTCGATGGGTCCGAACGTGTTTGCGGGCCGACACTGGAGTCAGTAGCTTTGGCCATCTCTCGAGATGGTAAGAGTGTCTCCACCACCTCGATCCTAGCAGGAACAGCTACTATTCCTACTGGCCCGACGTGTTTCCCAGAGCAGAGCCTGAAGTGCTGGCTACATTGCTACCAACGGGATGTGAGGATCCTACCGCCTGCCCCATCGTAGGCGGGATCTTGTGGGTCACCTTCTTGTTC